TACCGTGAACTTCATGTACGCACCTCCACTTTTGTATACTACTGTTTATTATTAAGTAGTGCGAGTCATTATTTACTACTTTTCCTTATTATAATGGTCACCACATCTCACCATTCAAGATCTGTATAATGAAGCTGTTATTATAAACAAATATTGTTTCGGGATTTATAGCTTGCCCTTTCACGGAATCGATGTTTGGTAACTACATCTAAATGTCTTACAAGTTTTTCTACAGTAGGCTAGCTTGAAAAGTTCTTTGATTATTAGCCCATCTTTCGGGATCAGATCAAAATAACTGTAAACTGCAACAGTGGTCATTTTTTAAATATCTATTAGTCTAAATCGAACGGTTTAACAACAGACTGTGAGTTCGTCAATAAATATTAAAAACTATTCCATATTGAGGACTTGGTTCTAGTTCTCTTCATTTTTATGCTTTTCTCTTCATATTTAAGTGACATGCAGTCGTATTCTCCTTAATCAAATACATGTAAACTGTTCCTCAAAGACTCACTAGTTTGATTCCCTTTATTGAGGTGATGCACGTAGACCTTTTTGTGGGGATCCCTTCAAAGTCGAGGCTCTTAATCGGGAACATGTGCAAATTCACTGCTTCGTTATATCATATCTTAAGTTTTGAGTTCACCATTGCTCCATGCTCTTCCTTTCTTATTTCATTCGTTTTAGGATCGAATCTACTGTTTAGTGTGACCACCAATGATACTGTTATTATATCTACTACTTTGTAATTGTTATATTAATTTCAGTGCTGATGTGGTGTGACAACATCCACCGACCCATATCTACGTCGATAGATAAACCAAATGTCATTTAATCTTAAGTTACATGAGGACTAATAACAGTACCCGGTAGATCCAACCGAATTAAGTAAAACTAAGTCTAATACAACACTTCAGTCGTTGTAGATTAGATGCCTTAAACAGACCCACATGTAGCAGATATGAAAATGAACATTCCTATTAAATTACCAGATGATTAGGCTATTAGAAATATGTTAAGTATACGAACCGAAGGTTTAGTTACTTTTTTGTCTTCATGTAAGTATAATAACTCCCGACCGTTACTGCTACCTTGACGTGGTGGTCTGGCTTGCCCGTCGTCATAACTCAACCAACCTATATTGGCTAGAATACATGTTCCTTTATGTCTACCATGTCAGGCAGGTCGGTTGAAGAGTGGTAAGTCTAAAAAAGTCAAACCCAAGTCCGAGGGCGAAGTCGTACTGCTGACTGTACAGGTGTGACGGGATTAAGGTGTTCCCCTCAAACAACCAACATGACAGTGATGCTGCCCCCCCACACACACCTCGCCTTGTCCTGTGGATTTCCAACTCCAGCGGTAAGGTCTCAACAAGTATGAAGCTAACACGAAAAATACTCACAAAACGGTCGTGTGTAACCGGCTTCAAGCAATTGTCCCTTGGGTAGTGCGATCCCTCTCTCAGGCCATTAAGACCAACTCTAACCCAATTTACTTCTCAGGTTTCTCTAGAAAAAACCTTCTACGGTGTGGGCAACTGGGAAGTGATAAACACCCACATACCTCCAACAGTATTCAAAACCACTGTAACAATAACTCATAACTACGCTTCGATAACAGGGAACCATAGTTTTTCTCTATCCTAACCCTGATTAGTTCAAAAGATAAGCTTGAATGAAAACTTTTTTTGGTAGAGATTAAGTAAGATTGATTCAAGCATAATATTTCAGTTACAGCAACTCTCATAAAAGGTGAAAAACTTCGAGCATTAAAGATACAGGTCAGTATGAAAATAACACCTTTATCACGATGAAGAATAAATTTCGTGCAAAAGTTTCGCGCGTAAAAAACATGAAATTAAATTTACAAAATAAGGATCAGTAAAATTGTCAATATCGATTCTAAGGAAGAATCGAATTGTATAACCATTCATTGTTTTTTTTGTGAAATAAATAAAACTGAAATTTAGGATTCGATACGATCAATAAGCAAACAACAGTTTTACACTTAAATCAAGTGTAAATTAAAACATGTTCAGATGTAATATTAACATACATGAAAACAAAACTCAATATCTATAAGACATTGTATGTTTTTCGCTTAAAAATAAAATTTAAAAACTCATATTTAGAACTTAATTTTTACTATCGACTAATATGAATGTTATAACGCTTGGTTTTACATCATCTAATGTTATAACGGTTGGGTTTTTCACGTTTACACGCATGAGACGCTAATTTACCTTAGACGAATATGTACACTAGATTCTCACCCCACCCAGTGTCTATTCTACAGGACGTCAACACAACTCAGATCAAGAACACGTGATTAGCCTGACCACAACGTAATGTATTTCCACACCAAAAAACGCGACACAATCCAACAATAATGAACGATCATTAATAAGTGAGTAATAATAAGGATAGGGGAATATATAACTCATTTGACACCTGTCAGATTATCTACATGTCTGACTAAGCAGACAACCAGTCATTCTCGTCCACACATCAATGAACTAAGAAAATATTGAAAACGAAATAATGCTAGATAACGAGCTACTCACTGATAGGGAAAACAATGTACATGGATATCAGCATCAAACTACTCAATAACCACTAGTGGATATGTCGAACTTTGTCATTTCGTAATATGCAAAAATGATTGATACTATCAATGAGTTGGCTTAAAACATGGATCAAGGCGATCTAATGTCGTCAGTCAAACTACACATCAGCTTGTACATGATCTGTCATACTAATCTGGAGAATATACAAAAGTTAATAATGTGAATAACCAGAGCCAACGATTTAACGACGTCAAGCTAAGCTCGAGAAGTGGATGTTTTAAGTTCATTCTGGTGCTGAGTATCAAACAATGACTAAATAGGTTTACTTGTATTGTAAGATTTAATGGACAATGCGTGACAATTACAATTTCGTCAGTAGTTTTACGCAATGCGAAATGTACCCAAAATGAATTCATCCCAGTAATATATGAAATAAGAATTTTCAGTTTAGGGTTTGTGAAGATTATTAGGTTTTCGATTGAGATCATGAACCGATTGACGTTAGACCACCACTTATTTGCGTAAATCGTTGAATAAACCTTCATAATGATCTGTAGTTTTGTTACCGAAAATTATTCTTACGATAAATAATTCTTTAGCTAAAATACCAATGGAATTTGACGATGCATCACGGAAACTTACTGAAATATTCGAGACAGTGATCCACAACTCTTCATTGGATCCTTAAAACCAAGAGCTGGACTAAAATATTCATCATTAGTGCGATATCTGGTTAAACTGTCAACATGTTGATTCTGGGTTTTTTTTAGCTGTTTCACATTCAACAATAAATCATAAAACTTTGGATAAGCAAAGAATCTACGATATATAACATTGAAGACTACAAGATATCATATTTTTTTATTATGCCAATGAATATTGGAAACTTATAACTACTCTCATAGTTGAACATATTAAAATAGATCTATTTCTTACACTTTAATGAAGACATTTGTTTACTCAGATTTTGATAGATCGGATGCAACTCGATTACTTATAATCAAGAGAGTAAAACAATAGAATTGCCAATTAAATCCCTTACTACTCAATAATGATCATGAAATACGTGCACTTGTCATTAAATAATGTTGACAGTATCCATTGTTCAACAAACGATTGACTAACTTAATGTAAACTCCATTTTTGAGTACCAAAAGCGTCATAGGTCTAGTTGCATTGCAACCCTTCCAGCGGTTTATGAACTTTAATGAATAACCATTATTCAATAACGTATCAAACGTAGTTTAATAAAGGGTTTATTCAATAGAATCAATTGTATTTGTACTAGTGATACTATTGAAGTAGAGACGGAGCTCTTGACTAATATGTTAATGAAAAATGTTTATTCATTGAAGATTGACTAATTGTCAACACAGAAGTTATCAAGTTTATTCATAAAAGAGTAGTTATGAATAACTAAATTGGATTAATCAATATAGAGAACTACAACAACTTGAAATCTTATCCATCTATCCTATGATTTTGTGAACTAACCAAAGGCATTTTAAATAAATACATTTTTTTACATTGATCGCAATAAAATGAGTATATATATATATATATATATATATATATATATATATATATATATATATATATATATATATATATATATATATATATGGATGTTTGTATATATCAAAATGGTACATAAGAATGAAGAGATTGACTAGTAACGAAAAACAAACAAACGAACAAATACCCGTCACAGTAATGAGAGAAAAAATGGTTCCATATGATATAACACACAAGAAGAACACCAAGAAAAAAACACCCTATCATATCATAGTTAATAAGAGCTTCTTTTATTCTTATAGGCAACATTAATGTTAAGATTCAAAGTGGTTTTATTTTGTGCATTGTATTCACTTGTCATTTCGGTCTGTGCAAATATACATAATCATATCAATACAGTTGGTAGAACAAAGATGACTGCATACACATAAAGATTAAGAGCGAAATAATGTTCTATTTTCTCTCGTTTCTTGTAATCATTATTGTTGAATTATATCATCACCAGGAATTTCATTGACAATATATATTCGAGAAATGATAATAAAAAACAATGAGAATAGGTTCCTTATAATGATTGTGCGTGAATCAGCTTGCATGTGTGTGTATATATATGATAGAAGCATAAACTATATAACCCGTCTTATTTTTACTCTCACAGGGAACACATATGATAGTAATGATAAATAGATGCACAAAAAAACAATTTCCATCAAAATATCAGAATAATATACGAAAATGCCAAAGGTTTTTATATATATATATATATATATATATATATATATATATATATATATATATATATATATATAATATTGTTTTACTGTGTACACACACATATAACGAACGATTGTATAATAATTAATTCTCACATACATATAATCTTAACCGTCGACTATACGGTTATATAAAGAGGTCGGAATTATTCCTGATGTATTCCTGTTGAAAAAAGAGAAGAGAAAAAATCAGTTTTCCAAAAAAAATAATAGGGCAAGAAAGTTGGTCTAGTATATTCCTCCGAACTACATGAGAATATTGAAAGAAAAATGTAAGATATGAAAATACAGTTAGCTACAATGTAGGACCAGGCACATACATGGATCGGTTCAAGTTGCCACACCTCATTAACACAACAAGATCAACACCGAATTCATAGATGTAGTTAATTCAATGGTAGTAATGTATAAAATATAGATAACATATAAGGAACAGGATTTTATCATACTTATCATCAAAAAGAAACTCGAGGTTAGTGATTTTTCTTTTAAAATAGTTTTTCTCATGATTAAAGCCTTTTTATTCTATAGGGTCAAAGTCCATGTAGAAATAAACAACAAAACTATCAAAGTTTAGTCAGCAAAGAGCAAAATAATTGACTACGGTTATTATTTGAATATGAATGAAAGAAAACCTAGGTCATGTATGTACATGAACCGGTAACCGATGGAGATTAGTGGTCAACACCCACACACACACATTATATGAATAGGTTACAATTTCGAACATCAATACTCCTAATTTAGTTTGTATAGTCAAACTGTATCACTAACCCTTAAATAAACAATATTGCAGAATGTTTAATACGTAAGCTTGTACTTGATGATAAAAAAAAGTTACATTACATTTGATTTTTATGATCAGTGATTCAGAGTTTATTGGACAACATACAAGGATTCATTTAACACAATGTACTGTTCATTATATTCCAATTTAACATAATTTTTTAGCCTGCCATGCACTTGTAGTGATTTTTCTTTAAGTTGTCTAGTAAAAATCAAGTGTATAAACCAAGTATTATCAAACTAAATCCAAAGTTTTGACCTTGACTATAAGAATATAATTACTGAGACTATTTTGACGACCAAGTTAAAAATTGAAAAGAATAACCGAGTTACAGCTTATAAGTCAAATCAATATATATCAGAACAAACGAAACTATTTCACTATAGTGAATGATTATTGATAAGAAAAAAAAGCATTCACAACTATTACAAATACACCAGATTGGTCTAGTACTTGTAGAAGCTGCCCAAAAACCAGGAAACAACTAACTATCAATAACTTACAACAACCTTGTTCAATGCACAGTCAGTCAGTTACAACGTAGGACTAGGCACATATATGCATCGGTCGAAGTTGCCACACCTCATTAGCACAGCAAGATGAGCACCGGATTCATAGAAGTAGTTAACTCAATGGTGAAATATATAAAAGATTTTATGTAAAGATATAGTACAGAAAGATATGAAGCGATTTTAACAGCATAGGTTAAAGGAATAAAGAAAGTGTATACACCTACACCATTGTGATCGATTCTAAGCCACGTCACCCACAGTCTCCAACCATTGGTTAGGATAGTTACGCGGACCCCAACCAAGTAGTCTACATCCTCTAACATAGCTCAGACTAGAAGTTAATGACTTCAAGCACTGATGCTAACTCTCGTTTGGCTGCCCCTAACTTTCTTCCAACCATCCCCAACACCAATCAGTATTGCTCGTCGTGGTAATGGATTTTCGAGTGTAACACATGGCCTGCTAAATGCACAAAAATTAAATAGACACTTCAATCAGTTACAGTTCATGTTTTCTAAAGTTCCTAACAGTTCGATTTTTGCGAATACGAATCAGGAAGCCAGTACTTGCCTACACAGAACAGACCAGGAGTCAAAGATTTAAAAAGACAAGTTAGATTGAGCTACCACCAAACGTTTTAGAACCCTCTTTTATACTGGTCACCAAAAGTATAAGTAGGCAGTAACATAAAAAACCAATAAAAAATATGTTGTTTTAGAGTAGATACCTGAATTCCAATTTTTGCTAGGATTGACTACATTATTCATTGCGAAACAAGAGTCTCCGAAATTCGGACTAATAACAGGGTTGTAGTACACAGATTCATTTGTATGAACTCCACTGCCCGAAACATTTGTCAAAGGTTCAATAACGGGAGTAGCTGAAGGAATGTTTACTGATCTAAGTATTGACGAAGCAATTTGAGAATGATTCGATGTCATAAAACGACCAAATTCTAGTGAAGATTGGTTAACTGGTTGAGGAGATAATTGCATAGAATGTGGTTGATTTTGTAATAGATTATCGTTGGCAACTGCTAAAGGGATTGTTTGAACAACATTTGGAATTGAACCAGTGGCAGCAAGAAATCCAGTCGCTTGATTCATTGTATAAACAGGACTATTTCGATAATTTATTTGTCCGCTATTATTATTAGGCATACCAACACCACCGACAACCGCAGCTGCCGCTGCAGCCAATGACATAGGATTACCATTATTAACCATAGTTTGTGGTTGCATCTCCATTTGTTGTTGTTGTTGTGCGCATAGATTAGCATAATATGCTTCCGTCGGTGAACGAACATGTGAACCAGGCGGTGGTGCTGGAGGATATCCATTGTATCGAAAGTGTGGATTTTTCAAATCTAAACTATTAACAATCTATGATTGACAATAAACAATGATAATTATAATGTTAAAGTTATGTGGTGAGATAATTTATAGATGATGTTTGTGAGATATACTAAGGTGGCCTTGAGAAACTTCACTTCCCAAGATCAAAATAAGGTTATGAATCAGTGTTAGAAATCAGAGTAAAGGTTTTTATTACCAAATGACATCAACGATAATGCAGATATGCTATTCACTCAGTGATATGGATGAATGAATTTCGAGAAAAAAACCTCAAAGTAGGTTTGTTCGTAAATTATAGTCTCAATGTTTATATAAATATGAAAGGTGACAAATTTTTATCAAAAACAGTTGACGACTACTGAAGATTATTTTCTACGAATACAGATAAACAACTATAGTCACGTATGCAATGAAGTAGTACACTTGTTCCCAATCACATTATGATCACAGAAGTTGAAATAGTCATCAACCAATTACTTCCCTACTTGTTAACATCATTAGGATACGCAAAAAATAACAGGGTTTATTTATTAAAAAAGATAGAAACTAACTGATGGAATTGTGAATACCTAAAGTAACTGAAATTATGATAAATATGTAAAACTATCGTTTATTTATTACAAAGAATGTCAATCATAGTGAAAAATAATTCAGAACCCGTTTGTGGAATACCATACACCACTATCGATAGTAACCGATATGCATATATGTATCCATCTATGTGTTGTTTGCAATCTTTCAACAGACTTCACCACCATTAATTTTCGTATATATGGTAATTTATTTTATTTATTTGAACACATAAATATTGGTACAAGAGGGCACCAAATATATATGCGCCACACAAAACAATGAGAATTTGAAGAGGAGAAAAAAAGAAAAGAAAAGAAAGTAATGAACGTGGAGAATTAGTAAAAAAATAGAGAGAACAATAATGGGGGAAACGAAAAGATACAACCAGGAGAAATCTTTCAGTTAAAGAAGAAACAACCACTTTTTATGAAGAAAGTAAAAGAAGGTTACAGCACGATCGCCACTGGCTTCTATTCTGAGCCACATCTGATAACGTCTCTAGCCACTGCGTTACACCGTCTCTCAGACCCCAACCAGGGAGTCGCGAAGGACCAACACAAGCCAGCCCTTTGCAGCTTTCTTTCATACCACGAAACCATGTCATATACTGACCACCTCTCCGCTTTTTCCAACCAGTCCCAGAGTCGGCAAATAATGCACGACGTGGAATTCTCTGGGACGACATTCGTAGAACATGTCCAAGCCACCGAAGTCAGTGTTTCAAGATGGTGACACCAATGGAATTATCGTCTCTGTGACCGAACACACGATGACGAACCTCTGCATTACTAACATGGTGTTGCCACTGGATGCCAGCAATCCTTCGGAGACAACGATGATCGAACACAGAGAGTCGTCTAACATCCTCAACTCGGAGAGGCCAGGTTTCACAAGCATAGAGCAAAACTGCTCTCACCGACGCGTTGTAGATCCGACCTTTTACAGCCAGACTAACATCACGAAGACGTCAAAGATGGCCCAGATTGGCATAAACCGCTCTGGCTTTCACTATACATGCATTGTTCTCATCACTCACGCCACCACCAGCACTTATGCAGTTACCCAGATACACGAACTTCTCGACTACTTCTATCAGCTCACCGTCCAGAGTGAGCACAGGATTAGAATCCTGCCAGTCTTGTAGAAGTACTTTGCACTTTGAAGGAGCAAAGCACATACCATACCTACGGACACTGATTGCCAACTGATTAAGTGCGGATTGCATGGCTTGGGCATTCTCGCACAGTAAGACAATATCATCCGCATACTCAAGGTCGAAGAGTCTTTCTCCAGGCAACAGATCCACACCACCATTACTTACATCCATCAGAGCTGTTTCCAGAATGTCATCGATGGAAAAGTTGAAGAGGAATGGTGAGATGGGGCAACCCTGCCTAACCCCACTGCTTGAATGGAACAATGGAGAAAGGTGATTGTATGCCCTCATTCTGCCTGGTGTTTGTATATAAGGCTTTCAGGATGTTAATAAACTTCTCAGGCACACCCTTCTTCAATAGACAATCCCAGAGAACAGTTCTGTCTAACGAATCGAAGGCAGCCCTGATATCAAGAAACACTACGATATTTGGCCTTTGATAAGTATGGCGGTGTTCTAACACTTGGCAGAGGGTGAAGATATGATCAATACATCCTCGACCAGAACGAAAGCCAGCCTGCTCCTCGCGAGTCAATCCTTCTCGGGTTCTGAACAACCTACGAATCACAACGGAAGCCAATGGCTTGGACGCAATCGGAAGTGGACTTATCCCCCGATAGTTGTTACAGGAACAACGTGAACCCTTTTTAAAGATAGGGACAACTATCGACTCATTCCATGACGTTGGGACACTCTCTAGTTACAAGACCTTTGTAAACAACGTCGTCAGTCCCTTAGTCAGAAAGTCACCACCATCTTTAAAAAGAGCCGGAGGTAAGTCGTCTGGGCCCGGTGATTTGTAACGTTTCAAGAGTTGGAGTTCCTTGCGGACTTCCGCCTCATTTGGTGGATCAGTCGGCACCGGCCATGGAGGGCAGGACAGTCTGACCGATGTTGCTGGAGCAGCAGGCCAGTTGAACTGCCCTTCAAAGAATTCTGCCCATCGTCCAAGACGTCGATGGATGTTAGTGATTGGCGTTCCGTCATCCTCGCAGATTGTTTCGCTCACATCAGACTTCTTGCTGCCAGTGGCTCGGATGAGTTGGGAGGGCTTTCGGTAATTACCAGATGCAGCTGCTGCTTCCAGCTTATAAGCACGCTCCGACCACCAGGCTTCTCGGTCCTTACGCAAGCTTTGCCCGACTTCATTACGTAACATCCTTCGTCTGTGGTCAAACTCACGGTCACCCGGAGTAGACCGAAGAGCTTCAATGAGTTGTAAGGAACCAGAAGAAACCCAGTGCTTATAAGCGGGACGTTTCACGAACCCACAACAGACTGTACCCGCCATTTTCATGGCGTCATGCGATTGCAACCAATGCTTATCTATACTTTTCGGTGGAATGGTAGCTAGCCTAGAAGCTAGCTCGGTTCGGTACTTACTAGCAACAGAAGTTGCAGCCAGCTTGCTAACATCAATCCTTTGGTAGCGGTCACTTCGTTGGCCACTGAAAAGTAAGGTAAGATTGGCGCAGACCAGGGTATGATCAGAGCCAGTTTGAATGGTGCACGTGGTTTCAGAAAAACTACTTCAGTTCTCGTATTCGGTGGCAACATACAAATTTCAACCAGGCAGTGACTCGAGAACGTTTAGATAGAGCCGAATTTTCACCATAGTCGAAACGGATACATAAAGTAGGAATAAAAGCGAGTGAAGAAATGACGTGGTAAAATTTAATAATAATAATAATAATAATAATAATAATAATAATAATAATAATAATAATAATAATAATAATAATAATAATAATAATAATAGTAATAGTAATAATAATAATAATAATAATAGTAATAATAATAATAATAATAGTAATAATAATAGTAATAATAATAGTAATAATAATAGTAATAATAATAGTAATAATAATAGTAATAATAATAGTAATAATAATAATAATAATAATAATAGTAATAATAATAGTAATAATAATAGTAATAATAATAGTAATAATAATAGTAATAATAATAATAATAATAATAATAATAATAATAATAGTGCGAGTAATTTCACTGTAAATCGGAGCGAAAAGAATATTTATCATAAGTAAATAGTTCATCATGTTTTAGTGCGTGGGCTGGGATACTGCCCGGGTGCCCAGAACGAAGCAGATGGTTCTCTTAGGGGGCCACGCTCCGAGCCTTTGACCTAAAGGTCTAGACCACAAGGCAGTGGAGCATCGTGAAGAGATGTAGTCCCATGGAAGCCGGTGACCAAAAATTGGTTCATACGCCATTTGTTCCTTCAGGATACTGGAGCCAGCCCATGTGCACCATAGAATTGGGATCCCGTTATAGCGCCGGACATTCGCTTTTCGTCCTCTCATTTTCGTAAACAACACCCCCACCACGAGAAGGCAGTGAGTAGGACTTCCCTGGCAGAGGCTGTATACGCGCGGCCGTGTGAGAGTATTTCGAGAGGGCGGGAGAACCCACCCCACTCTCGGCCATACTAGGGCATTTGGGGGCTATCTAGGATGTGTATTTCGTAATGCTTGGCATTTTCCAACAGGATGCACCTGTATTCCAGTGTCCATTTTTACGCTGTGACTCAAACTTAGTCCCTTTGACTTCAAACGCATAACGTATAACCCACAGAGTCAAAATAGCCACTAACCTGTTGAACGGAAACGAAGGTTCGCACCTGATAATATTATTATGCTTTGTAGATTCCCTTTCATTTTTTTTGTCGTATCCAACGAGCAAATTGCTGTACCCTATTGACTATTTTGTGTTAGTTATAGCCATTGACATAAATTCAGAATGTAGCGCATTGATAATATTTACAATAAATAATGATAGTAATATATTATAAAACTTATAGAAATACTAAAACAAATAAATATAATCAATCACTTTTCGAGCTTTATTTGTGTAAAAACCAATACCTAACTTTATATAGTGCGAGTGGATTTAAACAGTCACTGAAAGAAATCACATTTGCAGCCATATATTATTTTGGGGTAGAACATGAAATACCACTGTATACAGCCAGACCAAAATAAGTGTAGTTTTGTATGTCAGTCAGTCGCAACGTAGAACCTGGTACGTCAGTCAGTTAGTCAGCTACAACGTAGGACCTGGCACATATATGCATCGGTCCAAGTTGCCATAACGTATTAGCACCGCAAGATGAACACCGGATTCACAGAAGTGGTTAAGTCAATGCTGGTGCATATGTACATCGGTTCAAGTTGTCATATCCGATTAGTAAAGATAAATATGAAATTATTATCAGAAGGGATTGTGTGGAGACTTTAGAAATTTCACTGGTTGAAATCATTAATCCATTGAAGCTAGACCACCATGGAAAACCTAGAAGCACTGGACGGCCGTTTAGTCCTAGTATGGGACTCCTCAGCAGTGCGCAACCACGGTCCCGCTCCTCGCGAGATTCGAACCCAAGACCTATCAGTCTCGCGCCAGGCGCTTAACCAACTAGACCACCGAGCCGGCATCCAACGGTGTTAATGTCTAACTTCAACCAATCCACGAAGTTGCGCCACCGTACACCATTGTCTTCAGTGAGCTGATATCTCACAACAGACCTGGTTGAACTCCACTGGTAACGGCTCCTCACTAGGATGAAACGGCCGTCCAGTACTTCCAGGTTTTCCATGGTGGTCTAGCTTCAATGGATTCATGATTTCAATTAGTGAAATATGAAATTGTCAAGCCAAATCCCAGAATAGTAGAGGTAGTAACAGTATCAGCCGTAATAGGAAAGATTAGACATCGAAGATACAATTCAGGAAAATATAGATAGGTAAAATAGAAAGATTTTGGATAACAAAATAAAAATACCGAATATAAAAAATGCCGTATCACGATATACCTTTGTTTCACTACCAGGAACTATCAGTTCGATTTGAACATCATAGGATTGTCTAGAATTAGCATGCATAAGGACGCGTCCATTAAGTGACTGACCTTCTTGAACGAATAATGGTGTTCCCAAAAGACAACGCACCTAATTGAATTTAGGATAATAATAATAATAAATTAACGTTCTGGTATTTTTAAAGATTTGTGGACAAGAAAAGTTAACTAACATATACATAAATTCAAAAAAGTATAAAACCCTTTAGTACTTAACTAAAAATCTACTATACACAGTCTACTTGAAAATAAAAGGCGATGGATGCATCTGATCTGTAGGACACATATTGAGTAAAGCACCCAACTGCGTCACAAGACAAGACCTTACATGGAATCCTAAAGGCGAAAGGAAAAGGGGAAGACCAAAGAACACATTACAACGAGAAATGGAGACAGATATGAGAAAAATGAACAAAAATTGGATACGACTAGAAAGGAAGGCCCATGACAGAGTGGGGTTGGAGAATGCTGGTCGGCGACCTATGCTCCGTTGAAAGTAACAGGCGTAAGTAACCTGGACTGTGTAAATTTCCTTATAAGCATTTTATTCATGATAGACAATAAATGTATGTATTTCTGCTGAAACCTTCCTCTTAATCATGAATGCCATACTTAGTGATCAATGCTTTTCGTTCCCCTGTTTTTTCCATCATTGTTGTTCGTAGTAGAAATAAAGAAAAAAATTTACTCCTGATAGTGTCACCTTTTCTCTGACTGAACTCTTTCATTTCACCGATTACAAATTGTAATAACTATTAAGGGTATATATTTCGCATCAAACTTTAGAATCGTTCTAAATTGTTTACGCCTATTTTACTTGCTATTATATTATGGATATCACCGCTTTACATACTGAATATATTGTGTGAAATCTCACTATTTGTTGGAGATGTTAGATCCCCAGAACTCACTTGGTAAACACCTTTTTTGTAATTTTATTTTAGAAATTTGAATTCCTTGTTTTCGTGCCAAAAGCGCTCATTTTTACCTTCATGTCGTATTTCCTACTTGGGAGAATCTTAAACGCTATTGGTTCGTTGTGTCCCTTAGTATGCCATTTTGTAACGCTTCACAATGACAATTTTATGCCCGTCTTGATTGCTCGTGCTTCTGACTATTTGCGGAATATATTTCCCCGTTTCGAACATGGACATCTCTCTAGAGAGCGGAGCTGGAAAGCATTAGAATAGCTAGCTTATTGGTCTTTGGTCCGTTCGCAGACTAAGTGAACTCGTAATCGTTCCAAACATAACACTATTTTGTAACTTTGTTTTGTTCCTAATCCGTAAGTAATAGCACATACACGCTGTTATCACTCAAATTATACAGAATGCAATTAGTTTTCACGCTAATTGAACACATGTATACAATATGAAACACCAGATCCAACATATCATCAAATCAAACTCAATGATTATACTCACCCATTTTCTCTTTAACCTAATACTGTTGTAACTCCGCCTGTAGCTCTCCTAGAGTTACTGCCGGTCCCAAGCCCGGGTAAAGGAGAAGGGTTGGGCATGGAGTTAGCGACCCCATCCCGTAGAAAACTAACTCGCTAAAAAAACGCTAAACAGAAAAAATAACTCAAACCATTTAAACTCTGCCTTGGGAGTTAGAAGGTCTTCATTTAGAAGAAATATGACGCCTCAGGGTGAAAGCCGAGTTCCTTTGGAAGCCATGAGGCCGATGCCCCTTCTAACAACCAGAGCAACAAGTTTTATAGGTACATGGAACGTCCGGACAATGTGGGAGACCGGAAAGACCAGTCAAATAGCAACGAAAATGAGGAGATATAACTTGGCAGTACTGGGAATCAGCGAAACCCATTGGACCCAAGCTGGACAACAAAGGCTAAATACCGGAGAGATGCTGCTATACTCCGGTCACGAAGAGGAAAATGCTCCACACACTCAGGGAGTGGCACTAATGCTGTCCAAAGTAGCACAAAATGCACTTGTAGGATGGGAATTTCACGGATCCAGAATCATCAAAGCATCATTCAAAACAAAGAAGGAGGAGATCACAATGAACATTATCCAGTGTTATGCACCCACCAATGATAGCAACGACGAAGTTAAAGATCAATTCAATGAGAGGCTGCAATCAATCACAGAGAAGTGCTCAAGAAAAGACCTCACCATTCTGATGGGAGATCTAAACGCCAAAGTCGGAATGGACAACACCGGATATGAAGATATCATGGGACTGCATGGACTGGGAACGAGGAACGAAAACGGGGAAAGATTTGTAAATCTGTGTGCACTCAACAAATTGGTCATAGGCGGCACAATATTTCCACACAAACGTATACACAAAGCTACATGGATCTCACCAGACCACTCCACAGAGAACCAGATAGATCATAATTGCATCAATAAAAAGTTCCGAAGGACAATGGAAGATGTGAGAACCAGGAGAGGAGCGGACATAGCTTCAGATCATCACCTGGTTGTGGCCAATTTAAAACTGAAGCTAAAGAAGAACTGAACAACTGGACAAACAGCGCTGCAAAGCTTCAATACAGCCTTCCTTCGAGATACCGACAAACTCAATGAATTCGAGATAGCGCTCAACAACAGGTTCCAAGCCCTACAGGATCTACTGAAGGAAGAAGAAACTATTATGGAGAATAACTAGAAAGTTATCAAAGAAACATTAACTTCAACGTGTCAAGAGGTTCTGGGCCCCAAGAAGCATCATCACAAGGAATGGATCTCTACAGAAACACTGGACAGGATCAAAGAAAGGAAGAACAAGAAGACAGCAATTAACAACAGCCGAACACGAGCATAAAGTCCAAGCACAAGCCCAGTACATAGAAACAAGCAAGCAAGTGAAGAAGAGCGATAAAGCCGACAAGCAGAAATACGTGGAAGAACTAGCAACGACGGCGGAGAAAGCTGCAAGAGAAGGATATATGAAACAGCTTTTTGATACAACAAAAAAACTAGCAGAGAAATATAGTAAACCAGAGAGAACAGTCAAAGACAAAGAAGGCAGGCCAATCACTGAGATTCAGCAACAGCGGAACAGATGGGCAGAGTACTTTGAGGAACTCTTGAGTGGGCCGGCTCCAATGAATTCACCGGACATCGAAGCAGCACACACAGATCTTCCTATAGATGTCAATCCACCAACGACGGAAGAAATCAGAATGGCCATCAGACAAATCAAGAGCGGGAAAGCAACAGGACCCGACAATATACCAGCTGAAGCACTGAAGTCAAACATCGAATTAACTACAAGCATGCTTCATCTTCTATTCAAGAAGATTTGGGAGGAGGAACAAGTGCCGATGAACTGAAAAGAAGAACACCTCATCAAGATTCCAAAGAAAGGAGATCTGAGCAAGTGTGAAAATTACAGAGGCATTACACTACTGTCAATACCAGGAAAAGTCTTTAACAGAGTGTTACTAAACAGGATGAAAGACACAGTAGACGCTCAACTTCGAGATCAACAAGCTGGATTCCGTAAGGATCGGTCATGCACAGACCAAATTGCGACACTACGGATCATCGTCGAACAATCAATTGAATGTAACTCATCACTGTACATCAACTTCATTGATTATGAGAAGGCATTTGACAGTGTAGATAGGAGAACGTTATGGAAAATTCTTCGACACTACGGAGTTCCTGAGAAGATTGTCAATATTATCCGGAACTCATACGACGGACTACAGTGCAAAGTAGTGCATGGAGGACAGCTGACAGATGCATTCCAAGTAAGGACCGGAGTAAGACAAGGCTGTTTACTCTCCCCCTTCCTCTTTCTTCTAGTATTCGACTGGATTATGAAGACCTCGACATCTGAGGGAAAACACGGCATTCAATGGACAGCTCAGAACCAATTAGACGATTTGGACTTCGCAGATGACCTAGCTCTCCTATCGCATACACACGAACAAATGCAGATAAAGACAGACAGCATAACAGCAGTCTCTGAATCAGTAGGCCTCAACATACACAACGGGAAAATCAAGGTCCTCAAACACAACACGGAGAACAGCAATCCAATCACTCTTGATGGCGAAACTCTGGAAGATGTGGAATCCTTCACATACCTGGGAAGCATCATCGATGAACAAGGAGGTTCAGATACAGACGTAAAGGCGAGGATTGGCAAAGCAAGGACAGCATTCCTTCAATTGACGAACATATGGAACTCAAAACAACTTTCAACAAATATCAAGTCACAATCTTCAACACGAACGTCAAGGCAGTTCTACTGCACGGAGCTGAAACTTGGAGAACTACAACAACCATCATCAAGAATGTACAAATATTTATATATAGTTGTCTACGCAAGATACTCAACATCCATTGGCCGGATACCATCAGCAACAGCCTTCTGCAGGAGAAAACAAATCAACTTCCAGCTGAAGAGGAAATTAGGAAAAGACGATGGAAATGGATAGGACATACATTGAGGAAATCATCAAACCGCATTACGAGGCAAGCGCTAAATTGGAATCCTGAAGGGAAGTGGAAAAGAGGAAGGCCAAAGAACACATTACGTCGGAAAATAGAAGCAGACATGAAAAGGATGAATAACAAGTGAAAAGAGCTAGAAAGGATTGCCCAGGATAGGATTGGATGGAGAGTGCTAGTGGGCGGCCTATGCTCCTTCACGAGGAGTAACAGGAGTAAGTAAGACAAATTTCATTCATTAACCAAAGCTAATACTGTTGTCCATTGATTTGGACAACAGTGGGAAAATTATTTTTTATAAATGAACCTCCGTGTTGAGGAGGTATAGAAAACTGACAAACGTAATGCGCACACATATAAAGAATAAAACTTGCTGAAATTTGTGGTAAATTTCTTTTGTCTTACCTGATACCAATGAGTAAGTGGTTCGGTTGGTGCAGTTGACAACCAAACATCTCTCTGAGAACCTAAGAAACCAACATCAAACCAAAATGCAAGGCCATGGATCTGGATTTGTACCGAACAACATAGAATAAATGGGAAAAAGAAGTGTAAAAGTTACAATCAGCTATAGAATAAGTTAGTATTTATAAACATTTACAGTTCAATATGTAAGAGTATGACTACGATAATTCATATTTCCCTTTAGATGCTAAAATGAGATCGAATGGAGCACAGTTTCCATGTTGGGATTGGTTTTAAACGGTGACGAGTTCTAATCTCTCAATACCCCTTGCATTTGCGTGAATGGTATATTACAATCTATTTTAATACACCTTTTTAATCAGCTTTAATAAAAACTCTTCGCTTGCTTTACAAAATAGATGCATCGATTATGCAAACAATTCTTCAAATTTAATAATGCAAATTAGTCTTGTTTATTTCAGATAATTTCACTAATTTATATTTATTTGAACGCATAAATATTGGTACAAAGGGACACTGAATATATATGCGCCACACAAATCACTTGATTTGTGTAAGAGCAGTGATACTGCCCGGGTGCCCAGACCGAAGCAGGTGGTTTTCTCAGGGGACTGCACCTCGAACCTTCGACCTAAAGGTTTCATCCACAAGGCAGTGGAGCAACGTAAGGAGATACAGTTCGATGGTAGCCAGTGACCAATAATTGGTTTAACGCCATTTGTTCCCTCAGGATACTGGAGACTATGTGCACTATTTGGTTTGGAATCAGAGTTTTTCATCTCCCCTAGATGGATCCTCCATATCCACCAACCAGGTTAAAGCGTCGGACATTCGCTTTTCTCTCTCCCCGCAGCGAGAAGGCAGTGGGTAGGACTTCGCTGGCAGAGGCTATGTACGCGTGGCCGTGTGAGAGCATTTGGAGAGGGTGAGCTGACTCTCGGCCATACCAGGTCATCATTAATACACATGATATCCATCATACGATCCATCTGACTTATTATCGCCACCATTTTTAACGAACTGTTACCACATTCGATTAACTTCTTGAAAACGTATATTGAAAATGATAAATCCCTATAATAAGTGGGGCTGTATGAATTTACAAAATCTTTTCGTTGAAAGAAATTATTCATAAGCTAATTTGTTTTCTACCTAATGATTCAAATATTTAATATTCAACTAATGAATCATAAATTTAGATCAACTTTTATCTGATAACGAAATTTTAGACAATTGAAAAGAGTACTGTTATTAGCGATTATTCGATAAGTTTAACTGAGAAATTGACGTACAGACCATATTCCTAGATAACTAATTCCGATTACAGTTACACTTAACATACCAAATTTTCACGGAATGATATTCTGTAGTGATTTTATTTTACAACAGAATTTATATCATAAAAAACTAAAGAAAATTTACATCTAATAGTTGAATTCATGAGTCAATTGAAACTAGACTACCATGGAAAACTTGGAAACACTGGACGGCCGTTTCATCCTAACTTCATCTAGCTTCAATTGACTCATGAATTCAACTATTAAATTACTAAAACCTCCACAAAATGTCTCTGATTAAAATGTACATCATTCAATCCATCAAATATATCTTATAATAATGTCCTATTATGATGTAGTGTAAGTTTAAATCCGTTTCAAAAATGTATAAAACCATAAACTGATGTAGACTAAAATATAAAACTTGTATAAAGTTACATGAGTTAATATAGGTGAAACCATTTAGCATATTTATGAATTATACTATTATTGATCAATTCTAGATAATTATAAGGTAGTAACGTAAACTCAATAAATTTCTAGATGGTGGTAAACCTTGCTGACGAGTGCCAAGTAGCACGAAACCCGGGTCCATGGTTTCCTGTCGACTACCTCCAACCACCATCTAATCTCAACATAGTGCATGCAGTGTCGAGTCACCTAGAGTGGTGGCTACATTGCAACATGGGCGACAGCAATCGATCTGCACTAATAAGGACTTGACACACATGACACTGATCACCACCCAGTGACCAATTAATTGTGATCAATAAATTTATTTAACCATATTGAATTAAATATTCGAATACAACAGTGTTTAAAAGATCCCAAATGTGATCTCTGAATTATTTTTCATTGATGTACTGAAACACCTCCTTTCGATTAAAAAATGTGCATAATACATGAACTTGGGTTATTTTTACAGTGAACAGTAATAAAAAAGATTATAAACATACAAAGACACTTTATTATCTAAACCGATCAAAAACGGAACAAAGACTTACTGTAGAACAGGTTGTAATTTGAAAATTTAGAGGAATATCGATTGAACTTAGTTCGGATTCCGATACAGTACGGAAATCCACTTTGTGTATACATGGTAGTGCTGGACAAATACCAATGTCAAAAGTGTCGACTATAGGTTGATTGAAGTATTCCGTAACGGCAGCACTACGTAGAGCAGTTAGATCCATGCCATGAAAACTCTGGTTTGGAGAGAAGTATTTGCAATTAAAAAGCCAGTGAAAACCTTAACGACTATGTAACGTAATGGTATACTTTGGGGAGAAGCAAAACTGATAATACTAATAGGATTAATACTATCAATCACTAAATGCACTGAGTAGCATTATCAAGAGTTGTAAAATAAAAAATTAGAAACAGTATATTAATAATTTCAATGGTTAAGATCATGAGTCAGTATATTAATAACCAATGCAAACATGCAATGTCTTAATATGTATTTTTTCCTTAGTACAAATTGTATTGAAATGTTCATGTAAAAACAGCTAAACATTGAGAAGGGATAGAGTGAGCAAAACAGAATCTTACAAAACAATGAATTGATTTGAATGAATGTAACTCGCTCACCAAACACACATTGATTATCTCGGTTTTGAGCTAGATTGTATGAGGGTTAGTAAGACTAACCGTCTGACTGAATCGAAGTAGACGATTTAGTGCTCAGGCACACGACCTAGTGGTCAAATGCTATAACCAGTGATCGTCCCAACTTCTATATATCTTAACATCACACAGATGAAACTGGTGAAAAGAAGTAAGAAATGAAATTGTAACGAAAAGATAATGAATGGTGACAACAATAGTCTTTTTAACTGGACTCATTTTTAGCACTTGCACACACAAAATTAAGACCTAAGACGAATTACTCCACATTATGATATAAATATAAGTTTATTACTAACGGGTGAATTATTCATATTCATCTAGGGTTATTGCTAGTCCCAAAACAACACAAAGGATGAGGGCTAGGCATAGTGTCCGCAACCCCATCCTGTAGAAAACAACCTTGCGAAAAAACGTTAACCAGAAAAAACAATTGCAGTTCTGCCCTCCGAGTTGAACGATCTTCATTCAGAACAATTATGACGCCTCATAGTTAAAGCCGAGATTCTTTGGAAGTCTCACGAACAAGAAGACTGCAATTAATAACAGATGAACAGGAGCAAATGATGTCAAGGCACAAACTGTATACACAGAAGCAAACAAACAAGTGACAAAGAGCATTAGAGCTGATAAGCAGAAATATGCGGAAGACCTAGCAAAGACAGCGGAACATGATGCAACAGAAGGAAACATCAAACAACTTTATGACACGAAAAAGAAACTAGCTGAGACATATGGTAAACCAGAGACCGATCAAGGACAAAGGCAAGACAATCACCGAGATCCAAGAACAGAGAAACAGGTGGGTATGACACTATGAAGAACTCGTAAATAGGCCAGCCTCACTGAACCCGCGAGACATCGAAGCAGTACATGCAGATCCTCCTACAGCTGTTACTCGACCAACGATTGAAGGAATCAGTACGGCCATCAGGCAAATTATGTATCGGAAGACGGCATGACCAGAAAACATACCGGATGATGCACTGAAGTCAGATATGGAAGCACCTGCAAAAATGCTCGACATTCTATTCGGAAAGATTTGGAAGAGCAAGTGCGGACAGACTAGATAACACACCATCCTAACAAAGGAAGATCTCAGCAAGTGTAAGAACTACAGAGGCATCACACTACTACCAGTATCAAGGAACGTTTACAACAGTGTTGTTAAACCGAGTAGAAGTTTCGGTAGACGCCCAACTTTGAGATCGACAGGCTGGATTCCGTAAGGATCGGTCGTGCGTCGACCAAATCGCGAAACTATGGATTATTGTTGAGCAATCTAATTCGTCAGCATACATCGAATTCCTTGACTGAGGAAGGGTTTGATAGCGTGAACAAAATAACCTTATGGAACCATCCTTGAAACTATGGTGTATCTGAGATGATCTTCAACATCATACGGAATTCATACGATAAACTACACTGCAAAGTCATGTGTGGAAGACAGCTGACAGACGCATTACAAGTGAACACCAACGTTAGACAAGGTTGCTTACTCTCGCTCTTTCTCTTTCTTCTAGTGGTTGACTGGATTATGAAGACCTCTACATCTGAGGGGAAGTACGGAATACAACTTGCATGCAACGAGACGACTTGGACTTTACAGATGACCTAGCTCTTTTATCCCATACACACCAACAAATGCAGGTGAAGACAGCCAGTGTACCAGTAGTCTCTGCATCAATAGGCATCATGGCACACAAGGGAGAAAACAAGGTTCTCGAATGAAACACGGAGAACAACCCAATCACACTTGATGGAGAAGTTCTAGAGATGGGAGTTTTTACGTATTTGGACAGCATCATCGATTAACAGGGATCGGACGCACACGTAAAGGCGAGGATCGGCAAAGTAAGGACAGCATTTCTACGGTTGAAGAACATGTGGAACTAAAAACAACTGTTAATCAACATCAAAGTCAGAGTCTGTAATACGAACGTCAACACAGTTCTAATGTATGGGGTTGGAACTTGGAGGACTACTACAATCATCACCAAAAAATACAGGTATTTCTAAACAACTATCTGCGTAAGATACTCAATGTCGGTTGACCGGGTACCATCAACAACGACCAACTAGGGGAGAGAACAAACCAGCTTTCAGCTGAAGGGGAAATTAAGAAAAAACGCTGGAAGCGGACAGGACATAAATTGCAGAAATCAAACCGCATCACGAGGGAAGCGCTAACTTGGAATCCTGAAGGGAAACGGAGAAGAGGAAGACCAAAGAACACAGCGTCGGGTATCGGAAGCAGACATCAAAAGGATGAACAACAACTAGAAAGGACTTTCCAGGACAGAGTTCAGTTAAAAATGCTGGTGGGTAGCATATGCTCTTCCACGAGGGATAACAGGCGTTAGTAAATCATGGAGTTTGCAAAAATTGTCTATTCATTACTATGAAATCGTAGTCAGTTTGCTTATTGATACTACCCAATCTCATTATCTGGTCTGGATTTTATTGGATTTACTTTATTGCAAAACAGATCAGTTGAAGAGCAACAAGACTTAAATAACTGAATTACATGAACGAAGTAATAATGCTGACTCTCAGTATAGCGACAACTACTCAGAGAGACTAAAAGCATCAAACCTAGAAAGTAGAGTAACGACACACTTTCCAAAGTGTGAGCAATCAATGTGTTCATTTTCTGTGCAACTCCATTTGAATAACTGTCGACCCTGTTTATTCATTCATTATATCGACTTTTTGTCTCATGCTTGATAACCACTTCTGATGATTTGGGCTTTCGAGATGCTAAATCTAGACTCCTGAGAACGCCATTCAAGACACATACGGACAAACAGTATCGCTAATATTGGGCATTGGAGAAGACCAGTAGAGAAATCCAACTTCTAAGAGTACAATATTTGATAAACATGTGCAGTGGTTTAACCGACCACAAACAAACCACAGTATGGAAATCTTCGAGTTTAGGTCAAAGATAAGAATATCAAGTTCGCAATCAAGGATAAATGCAAAGGCGAGATAACTGGAGAGTAACAATTAGCAGAAACTAAATAAATAATGACTTAACAATTTTGTTGATGTAAACGAATAAAATAATTTGAAGACTACTAAACTAACCTGCTGATACCAAAAGTTAGCTTTTCCGTACTGTTCAGCGAAGAGTGCCTCATCACTGAATGGAACAATATACAAATTTGCTACAGATGGGAACATTATTCCGGGGCAAGGTAATGATCTATTAGATAATTTTGTCGCGCCATCATGTACTTGATCCTCTATGTCAATATCTTCACAGTCCAACTCATCAGTTAATACTTCATCAGAATGCTCAGAATCTGACAACTGTTTGACATATGGTGATTGATCATCTTCATTAGGTCGTTCACACTCACGTCTGTTCTGCTTCTTTTTTACTGGCTGTCGAAGATGTGGAGCTAGAAACTTTCTTGCATGAACATACGATTCTAACATTCGCTCGTTGTACAACATATAACCCATTGGCTCAGATATAATGACATCCACTGGTTCGGGCAAAGTGATTTCTTCTATTTTCCCACTAAGAGTAAAATAGTTTTATTAAGTTTTTGAGTGATAAATCTAACCTAAGTATTGAAAAGTGTGAACTTGGTTTCTAGACAGAGGTATTAAGCAGAATAAACAAAAAATACCAATTTATCTCAAATGTGAAAAGAATTTCACGAATTCAGCTTCAAACTAAGTGCCAACAACTTGTTTAACTAAAGGGACTCGTAAATAACAAGTGTCGGAATGACGAATGGATTGTTGACATAGTATATTAGACTTTAGTTCAGAGTTGGTAACTTAGTATCACGGTACGAACTTTATTAGCGCCCTAATAATATGGTCGGAGAACATTAATAAGGTAATAAACGTTTCGGTACACTGACACCTCAAATATAAATATAAATCAGTAGTGTCTGAACCGGTGATTTCTGAAGTTGAGGATTATTGGAATTCAAATGTTTCTGGATGGTGCAATTCAGCTTGAATTACACATGTAGTCATCATGATAACATCAATACTAGATATCGATAGCCAGATGTTGCACAAGCAATAAATACGCACATTTAAGTTGATTAGTCTAATACAAGGCATAGATCAGGTATTTATTTTGGACAACTTTAAAAATTACATAATTTCCCAATACTTCATTAAAATCATTAAGATAGTAGTCGTTTACTATTCGCGCTTTTGCTTAAATCGACCATCCAGTCGGAGACTTCGTGGTGTAATATATTGGCTTGGACAAGACTTTAAAACAAATAAATAATCATAAGCAGTCATAAACACTAACCAACCTGATGACAACAATGCGTCCCGCCAATTTATTTGCTTGAACTAGACTATTACAATGAGTAGCCATATTAGATGCTTCAACAGCATAAACCCTTGTTGCACCAGCTTGGATTGCGAAGAAGCTCAAAATTCCTGAGCCAGCTCCAACATCCAGTACCACTTTTCCGCGAAAGTCAGCGGAAGCATTTGCGAGAATAGCTCTTTGGTAAGTTGAAGTGCGAATATAGTCCTAAGAAATATAAATCAAATAGAGGTAAACAAAGTGTACACTAGTGAACCATTACAGGAAATCAAAATAAGTTGGGTTAATGTCCAGAAACCCATTGTAGCTTTATGAACAATCCACAAGTTATACAAATGTCAAACTCATAATACGCAAATAGGAGTGAATTAGTCATATGTCTGTAAATGAAACCGTCAAATGTTTAGTGTCTAGAAACGGAATGAGTGGTTAGCTCTATTAAGTTTGAAAACTATTGTTACATGTGTATTAAGATGTTGACTTTCTTTTCGAGCAACAAGCGAAATGCACTAATGATAATCATTTTAAAAAATTAATAATAGAGTAGTTACACATCACTACCTGCATTTAAAACGCCTTAAGCTGATAAGTCAAAGGTCACAAATAATTAAGGTAGCAACATATGAACTAGTGGTTACAGTACAATACTAACAGATACGTTTATTACAAATGACATTAAGTAAATGACCGTGTAGCCGAGTTCTGGAGATTAGTGCATGTGGTGGATGTGTATGAACGTCAATGAGGATAATCTGGATTTATGTTCCAAGGCAGCGTCAGAAATTTAGTTACACGGAAAAAAAAGACCTTAGATTGTAGGTTAGTTTACAGTGAACACGTCAAAGTGGAATGTTGTGGGAGTGAACAAGTTTACATTACTGAATTTAAATAGGGAGGAATTAGTGGAGTAAATATTAAGAATGCACGTTGGGGACGGAAGAGAAAAGAATCTCCGGAATATAGAAGATTAAAATGGAATGCATTCGCGCAGATACGGTTATATTTGCAATATTCATGCGATAATTTGCCCATGAATGTACACTTCTGACAAGCTATCAACGCCGTTAGACAGTATACTATTTAAAACCTTCCGAGTACACTTTTATGTTCTGTACACTTTGAAGACCAAATAAACTACATGTTTGCTTACATAGAAGTGTGTGAAGGTTTAGGGTTTGAAGTGATGTGTTAAGTACAATGAAACTCATGAAAAGATGACACCAACAGGATACATTGAAAGTACCAATAGACGTCACAAACTGTTTGACGCAAACTGCATTTCATTAGCCACTTTATTATTATTAAACGGGCCTGATAAACAGTTACCGAGACCTTTTAATTTCTTTACATTTTCTTTTGAGACTAGTACCAATTACAACTTCCAGTGTACTAAAGCATGTTTAAGTTCACGATCCAGGTAAAGACCTAGAAATAAAGGCAAGCGGAGCGATACTCAAAAGGGAATAACTTATCGGAAATTCCGAAGAATTTCTGAAAACATACCTGCATCATATTTTGTTGCTGACTGATGTAACTGTAGAATTGGAAATATTGTACTGCAGACCAAGAGTCAGTACGCTTATCGAAAATGGAAGTGCGGGTCTCCTTCTTGTTCTCTTCACATAGCGGTTTCATTAGATCGGAAGAATTCTGTGCAATTTCCTCACAAAATATATAACACTTACTAAAAAGCTACGGACATCCCCTGGAGAATCGAACCCCAACAAATACGTAGTGAAAACCGCGTCCCCAACGCATTTTTTCGCACAGACAGCTACTACTTTTTGTGAGAAACGATATATATTAGCCAGAGAGGAAATATGGATTTCCCTAACGGTTTCATTATTCCTACTTTTGTGGCAGTGTAAACACTCCAATGCACTTACCGAACAGAAATCACTTTAGAGTTTCTCAATCCAACTGTCAATCCAGTTCCGAGCGTTCGACAAGTGAACTGGGCCTCATCAAACATACGAAGCTCAACATTATGATACTCCGCTGACATGCCTACGCGCCAAACTCAACTTTCCCGGGCATGAATCTAGGACTTATCTTTCAATTTCAAAAGTACTTGACCCTCGTTATTATCAGATGCTAAAATTTAAGCATTAAAATCTCATTTTTAAGGCCATTTTAATGGAGATTTATCTTGAGTTAACTGGTCAAAAATTTTCAATGGCGGAATTTGTTAGACTGGAATGATGAACATAATGTTGCTTTGTTGCTTTCTTTGTATTGATAATAATCGATCTTAGGTCTACTAAGAGTTTGAAAGATCAAATTGATAATCAGCAAGATTGACATCGTCGTTTCTTTGGCCTTCCTGGGTGTCATTATCTTAAAAATTTACTAACATTTTTGAATTTCCCTTTCTCAAGATTTTCAACATTTTCCCGACTAAATTTGCAACTACAGTTGTATAAATGCATTGATATACGCGATGTAATATCGTGTCTTCTCACTTTTAGTCTAAGTTTCTGTATTTTAAAAGTGAAGAAATCGTCCACATATTTAGATGTATTGCTTCTAACAGTTCAGTTTTTGGACATTATTGTATTTGTCTTCATTTGCGGTTGTCAGTTTCAGTGTAAATAAAAATTAAAAACTGATTGTCTAGGCGTGTGAGCCCTACCAAAGGCTGAACTCAGATGAATACTGTGTTGTTAATAAGGTAAATAATGTACCGATATTGGTATATCTTTCAGGAAGTAAGTCCATTTTTTGAATTTGTTTATTCTGAAAGGTGACCAAGTGCACAAAATGAACTGTGTACAAAAGAGTTGTGAGCGTAGATGTTGTGTCGGATGACCATCTACAGGGTTTATTGAGTTCACTTACAGACTCAAATATAATTGGTAAGTCCTACTATTTCCAAGACACAAATCGTCTCCTCAAACCATGAAGTTGCTGGAGTAGATGAAAGCCTGTTAATCTCCACACAAATATAATTACATCCAATGTCCCGCTCTCACAAATTGGGAACATATAGGACAGCAAAAATCATACCAAATGCTTGAAAAACAGATTACCTTGTTTCACATAGTATGTAGAATTATGGTCTACTATGATATTAGTACTACTCTAATAATAGACCCAATCCTAAAATTGTAGATTTATCATGATATAACTGCCCAATCTATAAGATCTTATGTGGGAGTTACATCATAGTCTGCACCAACTCATTGCATTGTAACAATTACCAATACATGATGGAGAACAAGCTTAGGCTAGAGATGGAACAATATATTTAATATGGCTGCAATTAAACGCAACTCAATTTCGTAAATGTGCCCTTCAGCTTAGCAACCAATCAGAATGAGGCGGGAATCATTATATGCACCACCTTTGTAAGCAATGGCGGTCGGCTTTCTTCGTTCTGTGCTTCTTTCAGCTATTTCTTTTGTGTAGCTATGTAATTTAATGTTTCGGTGTGCTAAAATGCCGCAGTTAGTGTAATATTCTATATGTTGGTGTGAAATTTATTTCGAATCAGCTATGTTGTATGTGGATAATTTTTTCTGGTTTGCGTTTGGCACGGATTGGCAAAGCAAGAGCAGCATATCTACAACTGAAGAATATCTGGAACTTAAAACAATTGGCAACCAACACCAAGGTCAGAATCTTCAATACAAATGTCAAGACAGTTCTACTGTATGGAGCGGAAACCTGGAAAACTACGAAGGCCGTCATCCAGAAGATACAAGTGCTTATTAACAGTTGTCTACGCAAAATACTTCGTATCCGTTGGTCAGACATTATCAGCAACAACCTACTGTGGGGGAGAACAAATCATATCAAAGTGGAGGAAGAAATCAAGAACAATAGCTGGAAGTGGATAGGACACACATTGAGGAAAACACCCAACTGCGTCACGAGACAAGCCGTCACATGGAATCCTCAAGGTCGAAGGAGTAGAGGAAGACCAAAGAAGATATTACGCCGGGAAATGGAGATAGATATGAGAAAAATGGACAAGAATTGGATGGAACTAGAAAAGAAGGCCCATGACAGAGTGGGTTGGAGAATACTGGTCGGCGGCCTATGCTCCATTGGGAGTAACAGGAGTAAGTAAAGTAATGTTGTACGTGAAAGCAGACTAAAAAAGAAAAGCCGGAAATTCACTAGGAGTATGTAGTGTATGTATGTTCTTTTGGCAATAAAAGGAAGCCGGAGGGCTATGGTCAGAGAGTAAAAGGGTAAGTGATTATCATCATTGTTTTCAATTTCCGTAGATCAAAGTTTGATGGTTGCAAGGCCATGTTTACGGTATGCTGTGAACCGGCTCGTCATATCGTCGTCGAGGATGATACATAACCATCCTTGTGATTAAAAGTGCTTGAAAAATGATCGTTGGTTCAGAAGACTAAGTGAAGATCAGTTGAAGGTTGTTCTACCGACGGTTAAGACTGGAAGTAGTGCTGAATCTATTGTTAAGTATGCAGAAGAAAATTCTGAAAAGACAATAACAATGCATTATGTCAATAATTTAAAATATAAATTTGTCGAACGTAAGTTTATCCCGTATATCTACGGTTTTTTAAGTTGTCGAAGTTTAAACGATGTAATTGCAACCTTGCGGAACAATGGAAAACTGTTCGTTTCTTATGGAGGTGTGGCTAACCAGGTCACAGAAATAGCATTTAGCACAAACGAGCAAGTTGTAACGTACAAACTGTTCCCTGAAGTTGTGTGTTTGGATTCAACATACAACACGAACAGGGGAAAGTAAGTAAAATGTTCCTGCGTACTAATTGTCTTTAGTTATAAACTCTTTCAGTTGGTTTGTACAGATAACTGCGGGCATGGAGTCCCAATTATATTTACTTGGACCAAGGAAGAGAAGAAGGTTGATGTAGTATGGATACTGAAAGTGCTCACAGACAACTGAAGAGAAAGTTGTCTAACTGAGACGCGTTAAGTAAATGTATGTGGAAGACATTTACATGGCAGAGGCAATTAGACAAACGTAGATCACTACAGTCTAGCTTACACTGTAGTCACAAACGCAGATACGTAGCTGAAGATTGATTAATGCATCTACTAAGCAAGCTAACCACCTATGCTAGCTTTATATTCCTTAAAGACCATAAAAAAGGACTGATGTACATCAAGAATAGCCAGTCACCCTTTGTGTTCTTCGTAGACGGCCATCAATGTCCGGTAGTGGATATAAGCAACGGCACTTGCACCTGCTGTTTATTTAAAACCTGTCGAATCCCATGTAAGCACATGGTTTTTACTCATATACAAATGCCAGAGTTCACGGGTGTGTTATGTTCATCTTTGTATCATGAAGTAGTTGATTTAGTTTTGAAGCTCCGTTGCAAATGGACTTGGCAGGCTGTCTAAGATGTAGATGGAAATATACCAGCTATTCCGTTTCCAGATTATAATGAAACGAACAGACTTTATCGCACTCTACACAGTAAAATCCAAACACTCAGTACAATTTTCGGACAGACGACGGTGCAGGACACACTAAAGCAATTGGTAGATCAAGTTGATGAATTAATACGCATGAGGCGTCTGGCTACAGTTTCCGAACATGGTCAGTCCACTGGTTCTTTGGAAACCGAAATCCAAATATTTATAAATGCATCTATCAAGCTAATACTCGTACTCTCTATTTCAGATAATCAATGAACACAAATCTTGCCATGTGCGTCTGCTGCGTTGCCAGTTTTTGTTAATACCTCATTAAATAAAAGTCTTGTATTCGCTAAATACAGAGTTTCTTGTTATATTTGGTATAAGGGGGTGAAAACATTGAATGGGCCTGTAGTTGTGTTTTGACGAGCGCGTACCATCACGATACTGGTATCAGTCAGTGTAGCTAAGGTATTGATTGGAAATCCGACGCCTTCCCAATAAACAACTTTGGCTTAAACGCGTACCCATCAACGTACTACTACAACACATCATGGCGGCTGAAATAGGTTATAAGAAGGCCCGGACCTAGGGGTTCCCCGTTGCTTGCTTATCATATGGTACTTCAATCAGAAACTAAGATTACAGGCAGGGATTGTTGGGATGTGTAACTGTGTCAACTGTCTTAACTTGAAATTACTACATATCAACTAGGTGCTGAGAGGCTCGCGTTTCACCAGTTTCTTACAACGATTAACTAGACAAAACGAAATAGCATTAAGTCCATAGATTTATTCACGAACTTTAATTAACAATGGAATATGAAACAAATATTTACACCAGGTTCCAAATCACATTGTAGCATTGGTAAAGTGAAGTTGCAGTAGTTGTTTCTTTGCAAACGACAGGGTATAATAAGTAACTACAAAACACTGGAAGTGGTTGTGAGACTAAAGTGGACGTCCGATATGCTTTTAGTAATCTGCTGTTACTTGGGTCTCCCATAAAGTTTCATAGGGCCATAGTTATAAAGCTGAATGACTTTGTAAGATCTGTGACGGTTCATTCCTGTTACATTCTCAATAAAAGATAGTAATGAATTTAGTCAAGAATGTTAAAAAGGTAAATAAACAAATTACATATTTCTAAGGAAAGAATTCATGCAGCTGTGATTTACCTCGACTTCATAGATATCAGATCACGCCAGCTAATAAAACTTGTGTAAAGTACAGCATCGCACAGCTTTTATTATTTTGCTGCCACTTAAGTATTCCCATGCATCTGCGTCCGGTTTTACAGGAAGATATACAAGTTGATTTGGTATCTGGTAAACTAAAAGTTCCAGCTGTCAAAAAGACTCTTAACACCTGTCCACAGCCAGCAGCATTTAATTAAGACAGAATACTCCTCATCTAAGACTGTATACTGCTGTTTTGCAGGCAAATGAAAGCTCAGACACTTAGCTATCCTGCTACCGATGTTATTGCTGGGGAAATCGTTTAATGACATTTTTCTTTAAACATGGACAGTGTTAGACGTACTATCTAGAAATAAACACCAAACGTACTTAAAGCTATCAAATAATGTATGACAGCAACAGTACCAAATGCATTTTTTTCCTATTTTTAGTCAGACTGA